CGCGGGCAGGGGCAGGGCTTGCGTGCGCGCGGGCCTTGGCACGAGGGCGAGAGTCGGTGCGTGGGTCCGGACCCAGTCATGGCCCGGGACGACTCGGGTGGTTCGGTTGGCTCGTTCGGGTCGGTCGGCTCGGACGGGTCGGTCGGGTCGGGTCAGTCGACTCGGGCGGCTCGATCGGGTCGGGTCGGTCGACTCTGGCAGCTCGATTTGCTCTAACTTCTCGCACGCTTATCCGATTGACCCGAAACTTTGACCCACGCGCCTCAAATCTTTTTCTCCTCGTCTTGAGATGCGCAAATAGATGTCACCCCGCAATTAATAAATATGCTCGGAAATGGTTCGCGTGGCTCGGACATGGTTCAGACGGCTCGGAAATGTCTCGAAAATGGCTCCTCTTCCCGAACTCGAATAATGTGGACCTAAACAACACCAAAAAGACAAGAAAATACGCCGAACGACAAAATCTACAAAACGAAAGCAAAAATGCACGAAACACGACAAAATGGACCGGTCAATACTAAAACGGACCTAAAATCACTCAACTAAAACACATAAAACACACGAAAATAAACACAAAAACACAATAAACACCAACCACCAATATTATAGTGTGACGTAGGCCATGTAAAAAAATAATTAACTCCACATGGCCTACGTGGCACCATAACATTGGTGGTTGGCTCCATGGCATTTCTCCCTATGCTAATACATATATTAGAGGTATTTTAATAATTTCACATATATCTCGAGTCCCTCGACAATACAATATATGGACTCGAACTCGACTCGAGTTTGTGCTCGAGCAGCTCGAATTCCACTCAAATTTGGTCAAACTTGAACTCGAATCGAGTTTTGACTCAAGTGCTCGCGAACGGCGCAGTTCGGTTGCAGCCCTAACAGCTAGGTACAAACATTTCCTCTATGGTGAACAAAGTTCAAATCCTCGAATCGTCTTTCCTCTTTTAAGCACCTTTTGTTCTGTGGAATCTTTTCTCCCATCACCACCACGCCACCACCACCACCAATGGCGGCCGTCGCCCGCCTCCTGCGATCTTCGTCCTCGTCCCCCGCCGCCGCCTCCTGCTTCGCTCGGAGGTCGTTATCCACCTCGGCCGCCACCGCCGAATTGAGATCGCAGCCTTCCCCTCCCCCTCGCGCGGATCCCAAGCGCAGGAGCTTCCAGTGGGTGTTCCTGGGGTGCCCCGGCGTCGGAAAGGGCACGTACGCCAGCCGGCTGTCGGCGCTGCTCGGCGTTCCGCACATCGCCACCGGCGATCTGGTTCGCGAGGAGCTGTCTTCATCTGGTCCTCTGTCGAAGCAGGTGAGTAATTTGGTTGGTGATAACTGATAAAGAATTGGACTTTGATTGTGACTTGGGCGAATTGTACTGGACGGTGTTTGGATCTGTTACATTCAGTACATTATTACTTCGGAATTTCTGTTATGAGCGTGTTTTGTGGACTTGCAAATGTTGGGAGAGTAGTTTTTAGAAAAAATTGTAGCTGGGATTATATTCTTGGAAGGTTTGAGTTTGTCATCGTTTATGTGGATTTGGAATTTGTAGTTTGGTGTGAGTCGATTAAACGGTGAAAAACCTGGTGTTGGTAGTAGGTACGAAGTGTACGTAACACTAGATCTACTTGTTGTATATGTTGTACCTTTGGAAGTGAACTTGGTTTAAAACTTAAAATCCTATTATGGCAGTTTTGAACAGTTCTTACATGAGAGTAAGCTAATGTGAAAAAATGATGTTTTTTTCTTGTGAAGTTCTGATGATAGTAATTTGTAAGCACATAATCTACACTTGGGGCTTATGGTTTAAAGGATATCGTTCTTTTTCTTCCTGTCTCTCTCTATTTTACTAATTGATTTATTTGGGTCCTAATTGCAGCTTGCAGATGTTGTGAACCAAGGTAAATTGGTATCGGATGAGATCATTATAAACTTATTGTCTAAGAGGCTTGAGATGGGTGAATCGAAAGGAGAATCGGGATTTATACTTGACGGGTTTCCTCGAACGGTTAGACAAGCGGTAAGTAAAAGTTTATGTTAAAGGGTGGTATGAAGTTTATGGCAGGGGTGAGTGGCAATAGTGAAAATAGAATGAATTCAGCTTGTTACACAATAGTTCTGTTATGCTCATAATTTAGTTCAGTTCTGCTGTAGTATACATTTGTCAGATTTACTGTCTTTTGAGATTTATGAATTGAGAGGAATTTGGTTACCATAGAGCTACCATTTTATGGTTTCCACATAAAAAATGAACTATAGGTTATGTTTTGCAGTTGTGGTATGTTGTATTTCGACATGTAATAGATCATATAGACGACTCATATCACCGAATTTTGCGTTGATAATCCCATATACATCTGTTATATCTGCTATTTGCTATTTGTTGTTGACATTACTCGTAAGTGTTGGGTCAGTTGGTTTTTCAGTCCAATGTTGAGCAGATTTGTTATTTCACATATGTGTCAGGAAATACTGAATGAGGTAACAGACATTGATCTGGTGGTGAACCTCAAACTCCCAGAAAACGTGCTACTAGAGAAATGCCTCGGGAGAAGGATTTGCAGCGAATGTGGGAAGAACTTCAATGTGGCGTCAATCAACGTGAAGGGAGAAAATGGGAATCCTGATGTTAGTATGGCCCCACTTCTTCCTCCTTCACAGTGTGTCTCGAAGCTCGTTACTCGCTCTGATGATATTGAGACTATTGTGAAAGAAAGACTTCGTATATATAATGAAAAGGTAAAAGCCTTTTTCTTACGCTTTATATTGCGAAGTTCATTTTTTTTTTTTTTTGGGGTCAAGCACAAACATTTTATTCAGATGTCGTCATCTAAATGCACGTTTAACCATTGTATTATGGATTATGCAGAGTCAACCTGTGGAGGACTTTTATCGTGGCTTTGGGAAACTGCTGGAATTTGATTTGCCAGGCGGTATCCCAGAATCGTGGCCTAAATTGCTTGAAGCTTTGAATCTCGATGAGAATGAGGAGAAAAGGACTGCCACAGCTTAAGCATGTTATGATCACTGTCATGCTTAAATTTTTTGCAGAAAACAGAATATTTTTGCTTTTTATTTTTTCTCCTTTTCATCTCTATAATGAAGGAATAACAAAACAGTGGAGTAAACTGGAGTTCACTCAGGTCAATGAGCCCGGTGGGTGGCTGCCTTTTACGCGTTGAAATTCGATGTTTTTAGTTGAACTTTTTCCTGTAGCATTTTATGAGTAATTGTTGTGACAAAGTATTTCATTTTTGCAAATGGCAACTGTAATAATTATTCAATTACAATTGAAGGAGCTGAGGTATGTTATTTCTTGATTACTGGTAGATTAGTTGTGTAGCTTCTTTTTAGGGATAAAAGTGAAATAAAAATGTGCTACATGTTATCATCAGAAGATCTATAATATCTGATGCTGATGGGTAGTTGCATATAATTAATTGATTATACGCAGTAATGTTTCATTTTTATTTAAGAATTATGTAATACAGGGTGAGGTTTAGAAATTTTACAATGACTATTAATAATTATAAATATCAGAGTGAAATGGATAATAATTTTTACAGAAAATTTTTGTAGTAGTGATTGGATTTTTATTGAAAAACTATATTGAAAAAATTGAGGAGAGGGAATGAAAGAGAAATTAAGATGATTGAATATTGTGTTCTTTCACTCGTTGGATTAAAATTTTATTTTGTTCAATATCCAATTGCTTTATTTAGGAAACTAGCAGTCTCCGGCTGTGCGATGCACAGTCGGCCCAGTGATTACATTATTTGATTAGCATTCATATGCAAAAATTTTAATAACTCAGACAGCAGCAACCATTCTTATATTTATGTAAGCACTAAAATATTACACCAAAATATGTTTGTTCGAAGTCTTGAAGGTACATACACATACCATACACAGATAGATTGCAGCCATTTGTGCCAAATGTATTTTCTAATGTGTGGCTAAATGAAAATGCAAAATATTAATTCTCATCAAGCACTATAAGCTTAACCAGTAATAATATTTCTAAGATAATGCCACTACGCAAAATAGTTGGGGTTCATTGCCATCTCCCTTACAAAAGCAAATGACTAAAAATATAATGTGCAAGTTAAAGATCCTAAAAACATGGTTTTTTTGGATTGAAATCTTTTTCTTCCACATTTGAAGTGCCGATATGCTTCTTTGACGATTTTTCCTGGTTGGTTTCACCTTTGGAATCACTTGGGCCGCTGAAGATTAGTTTTCGCTTGGTCGAGCTTCCTGCTGATTGTTTTTCTGCTTCCCTTTCCATTCTGGAGTAAGGCGATTCATCACCTGCAAATGGAATTTGGCTGCCAGTTGGTGTTATCAGGTGCTCATCTGCCGCAACTTGGTTTTCCTAGTCAGTAGATGTGCATTTAGCAGTTATGGTGAAATGAAAATGAATTGGACTTTACAAAAATTGCATGAATTTTAATGTGTACCATTCTTGCATGTTGTCTTGCTTATCCATGAATCTCATTTTCAAAGTATAGTTTCACGATGGGGTAGTTGTCCATAAGATATCCATAATCTGACTCATAATGCCTAACGAAGCATGTCATAGTTTTCTTCCAGAAGCCTGTTATGATTTCTGACAGCAAATTGTTGCCCTAGTAAAGTGGTGATAAACAGGTTGTTAGAAATTCAACAATACAAATGATCAAATGTGTTGGTAGCGTATGTTCACTCAAATATGATGTGCACATCTTTTCCAGCCTCATATATTTGTAATGCAGTAAATGGAATCAACTTTTCAGTATCTTCAGCATAAATGAGTGCATTTAATACTCCTGTTCCGTCATTAATAGCCACAACAAACCGACATCTACAGAAATTATATTTAAATTCATTAGTCATATGAAGAGGAATGAAAGACTTTAAACTGCAACTTATTAGAAGCTATAGCATAGTTTTACCTCGGCTCTACATTGGTTTGTTCTTGACATATTGTGCATTTCACTTCCCAACCAACTGGAACTTCAAGCTTAGTGTGACAATGTCCACATGCACTGAACCATAAGGATTTCTGGTTTGTGACCCATGTAGCTTTCACCTATAATAAGGCTATAATCTATTTCAGTTTCTGGACATATAAATATACAATAATATTTACTTTGAATATAATGTGTTGACACTTACTGTTTTGTTAAGTGAACGCAAAGCTGCTTGAACTGTGACAACATGATTGCCATTTGGTGGTGGCAAAAGGACAGAGGCATTCATGAATGCTTTGTTTTCAATTAGATGTGCAACTTCAACTTTGTGTTCTATGTACCTGTAATTATAATGTGCATCATATTAGATTTATTTTCAATAGTTGAAAAATAAACCTGTATGTTTACCATTGTTTTAAATTAACTGCTTCTTGCATAGGTGGGTTGATTAGAATGCAGGTCGGCAACCTTGTCGTTAGAGATAAACCTGTGTGTGAGTGAATGATTTTAAAGGTACATTATTTTAAAATAAATCGATAATGAAACAAAGATAGGTATGAATATGGGGAAAACTTACAGTTGAAAGTCGTCACTTTGATCCTCATTGTGAGCACGATATTTCCTGTTGGGATTGTTGATGATAGTTGAACACCCTCATTTGCTTCAAACTCGTTCCATAGAGTGAACAACATTAGTCTTTTCCTGTAACACATAAATTAAATTATTTTATTTATTTATTTGTTTATTTTCCACAAAAGCACACAGTGAGAAACATAGCAGCACACTAACTCTTCATTGACAATGATTATATCCCTTGTTCTTGACTTTCCAGTTCCTTTGACAGGTAAGGCATGCACGACAACACCCATGATATCTAAAAGAAAAAATGTCATAGTAAAATAGTTATTATTTTTTCATTTTTGGTAATCTTTTTAAAAGTGTAATGAAGGCATTCTATGAGCATTGTATTGATATACTAACTTTGCAATTTTTCTGTGTCAGCAAATTGGTATAAATTATGGAATTGTTGGATTTTTATGTGGCATGGAAATTGTGGCGGCATTGGTTCTTCATAAGCTTCCATTAAGGTGTTTTTTTTAAGAGTCCACTTGTATGCATAGTTACCAACTTGATATCTTGTATCAACTGGACCGACAATAGCATTGGAGACATAATATCGCTTGTACGGCACCAGCCTTTCTGAAACCACGTCCAAATCAGCGGAATAGACAACTACAGATACTTTCGTTCCCTGCTCGTTTGTTAAGAATGAAACATTCAGACTATATAATTTTAAACTTTAGTTATATAAAAACTTTAAATAAAATAAAATTATTTATCTATTCACCTAAACACAGAGGCATAAAATGTATATTGTATAATTTACTTACTTCTGAGTCTGTGAGCAAATATCTTCTGTATGGGAGATTTTTTAGTGGCTTGCTAATTTGGATATGACTTTTCTCCACAACCTGAACAATTGCGGTGCATGCTGATGTTTTGTCATCAACTTCTTCAATTTGGACAAATTTCCTCGACATCTTGATCTACATAAAATAAACATTAATTATATCAAATCTCAATTATAGATATGATAACCATATAAGAACATAAAAGATGGACTGTTGCAACACAAATTATTATTTTTACCGAGTACGGGATGACTCCCGACCTCGGGTCGATCTCTCGAGGAAGGCGGTTCGGAATTTAGCTTTGGTATCGATTACACAGAAAAAGCAAATAAATCCTACACACTCTAACCAGATAAGGGGATTGAATAATTACTAACTAAGAAATAATAAAAAGCAATAATCTACCTAAAAATGTGAACGGAACAAGGATGGAGAAGCTAGGGAATCAGAGATAATTAATTCAAGTTCTAGCAAAGCCGGACAATTAATCGCTCGGTTCGATATTGACACTCTCGCTTAGACGTCTAGCGGTTTGCTCCCAATAACTCATCGTAACAAGGGATTGAACATAGACGAACAAACTCGAGTATACGACACAGGCCAATTATCCCAGTCCCAATAACTTTTCGTAACAAAGGACGGGTCATCGATAAGCACGTATTTCAATCCAAAACCTATAGACTATTCAATTACGAAATCATCTACCTCATGAGAGCCTAGGTCTACGACTTCTCCCCTTTTGGTTCTAAAAGTCGCTAATTGACTAGAAGGTGATTAATCAACTAATCATATAGAATTGACAAACCCTAAATCGACAAATTAACATTCAATCGTTTCCAATCGCAAGATCGAAGTGTCACTCTTCGATTATATCAATCAATCAAGCAAGATTACATCAATTCCTAATCAGATTAACTCACATAAGTGTGAGCAATTCAGGCTCGACAAATACAAATCAAACAAGAATAATCATCTTCTATTCCTAGCAATCCGAATTAGCTACGTAAATCAAATTCGACAAACATAATCATTCTACTCAAGTAAACCATTATTCATGAATTAAACAAGAAAAAGAAATACTTACAATCAATCCAAGTTCAAATGTTGAATTCGAATTACAAGCTTAATCCCTAACTAAGAAGAAGAAGAAGAAGAAGAAGAAGAAGAAGAAGAAGAAGAAAAATGGAAAATAAGGGTGAAGAAAGGAAGAAAAACGATGGAGAAGATGAGAGGAAAAGAAGAGGAAGAGAGAAGTTTTGTCGTGCTTTCTCGGGACCTCGGGTTTGCACCCTGGTCGAGAGTGTCTAACAAATGCCCTAGGTTCGAAAGATAAAGCTTCTCCCATTCAAAATCCCCAAAAATCGCAGCTGCTGTAAAACAGACCTTAGCGCCGCTAAGGCATGTTAGCCGTTCGAGCCAGTACCGTGTAGCACCGCTATCCTGTGTGCCTTAGCGGCGCTAAGGCTCTGGCAGCCTGCTGAACTTTGCTTCTCGGGTCCGTTTGGGTTCGTTTCAACTCGGAATTCGATTCCGTTTTTTCCTGTGTGTTCCCAACGAACTCTTCTATTTAATTAAGCTTGCCCGACTAACTTTCACTTGAAATCAGGTCCTCCTGAGGCTCCCGATCTACACACCATAAACAAAGAAAAACCGAAAAAAATACACGAAAAACACACGAAAGACCAAAATAGAACGAACCACGAAATAAACTACAAAACGAACTAAAAACCAACTAAAAGACCTAATATGGAGGAAAAGAAAAGAAAAATAATGATGAAAAATGCAACAAAAGTGGGACAAACAACTCCTCCACACTTAAATCTTTGTTCGTCCCGAACAAAAAGAAAAGAAAAGAAAACAAGACATGAGCATGAATATGGTTTCAAATAAGAATAGCCTCAAAATGCCCAACTCAATCGGGTCGAATTCCAACGACCTTACGACCAGCCTCAAACTCTCAAACATATACATTGCAATATAAGCCTCAATCATTTTCTTACATGAATATGTAATAGGTACGCTCAAGATTGGTCGATATTCAAGTTTCAACATATGCTTGCCAATCGTTTAAATTACTTGAAAACAATCAAAGCTCAAAAGGGTGCGAATCAAGAGGGGTTCACGGGTTGTAATGTGGGCTAAGGTAAAGGTAGGATATATATATGGATCCGAAGCTCAAATAATCAATGAAAGTTCTCAAGTAATAGACTACTCGAATGTCCACTACTCACCGAAATAAACAATATAGCACATTTACTATCCACAAAACAACTCCACAAGCAACACCTAACTGCTCTAATCGAATTGCAACATTACTTGACTAGATTTTTTTATTTTACTTTATTTTTTTTATTCTTTAGAGAGTAACTTCTTCCGAACAAGATCGAATCAAAAGGACAACATTCTGTAGATGTGAACCTTGGAGGTTATCCAAGTGTCCTACAGTAGTTTCCCAATTCTCATTATCGGTCAACATAAATCGACTAGTAAGAGGAGCAGAATCCATTTGATTCGTCCTATGAGCTCTCACGTTTTTTTTTGTTTTTTTTTTTTAAATGGTCAAGCAATAGAAATCCAACTCCAATTCACCTCATTCAACAACGACACTATTTTCACCAATCATCACCAAATCAGTCAACAAAATACATTTAATGTAAGGCTGACAAGAAAAAGGCTCAAAGCTCAAACGGGAAAATGAGCTATCAAACAAAACGCCTCAATCATATTCGCAATTTCAAACTCTAATCGATTCCTTTCAAACAAACTCAAGGCAAGTTCTAATCATTCATGAATATAACCAATATCCCACAAGAAAGAAGAGTAAGGATAAAAACCTCACAAGGCAAATATATGTCACTCAAAGCAATCAAGCATATACCGAGGCAATGACCACACGTCCGTCATCACAACTTCTCAATTTCATCAAACATTCATCAACAAATCATATAATCCACCAATACCATGCTCAACGACACAAAAACCTAGAACTAGTCCGGCCCACCATATAAGCATGCAAAAATCCAAATAAACTCCCTCACACTTAAAATGAGACAATGCTCTCGTTGCTTCAACACAAAACAGGAAGTCAAATAAAGGACCTAGCAATTTCATATAACGAACCAACACAAGCAGCTAGCACAAAAAACAAAACTCAAAAGAAAAGACAGGGGAAAGAAACAACTCAAAAAGATAAAAAGGAAAGGGTGTGCAAACCGAAGATGCCTCGAGGAGAATAAGCATCCATGTGCAAGCCGTTCGCCTATGCTTAGCCCAGAACCTCGAGCTCACAACTAGTACCTGCCAAGAAAAACACAAACTCCAAAACTTCTATTATTCAAAGATAGAACTAAAAAGCATAAAGACAAATATCTAGGAAAACGGTAAATCACTTGGGTTGCCTCTCAAGAAGCGCTTGTTTAACGTCATTAGCTTGACGAAACCTGTGGAGAACTCAGCCGAGATCCAGAAACAAATGGCGATCATGCCACGCCTTCGTATTCTCTAGCAATGGAAGCATAGAAAATGTGGCCAGAAGGCGGGCCCGGTAGATCCGGGTGGCTATGTTCTGTATGAAGCGGGGTCGGGCACGAACAATCACCAAGTACTGACATAGAGCTTTTCCTACTCGAGCTCTGTCATCAACCTCAGGGATAACGAGCACATCCGTGGAACAAGTCGAGCTAAATCTGGCCCACTTGGTAGCACAATGTAATGGTTCCAAAGGTGAATGCTCCATCTCGGTAGCAGGAGGAGGAACTCGAGAAATGGTGACTTGATCAAGTCCATGAATCTCCTCCTCTGAAACATTGTCGTCCCACTCGAGAGCATCATCTTCCTCTTCGGTCTCACACATGTGCATCGGAATACATGTTTGGGCACCAACCATAAGATGGGAGTCGTCGACTTTCAACTCGATAGAGTCGAGACGTGCTGTTAGATTCTCCATTTGAGATCTCAGTCGAGCACACCCGAACTCAATCTCCCCTTCTCGGTTTTCTTGGGCCATCATACGATCGAGGATGAGGTCAAGTTTAGCGTTGTATCCCGAAGCGACATCCTCAAGCTAATCGAAAGGTATAAGTGCCGGATGTGGGTCTCAACCATGGGCTCTTTGGCTCGTGACTCGATAGAGTCGATGCGCCTTGCTAGACTTTCCAATTGCTCGCTCAAACGGGCACATCTGAGCTCAACCTTCTCTCTTCGGCTTGCTTGGGCCATTACTCGAGCCAGGATTAGATCGAGTTTTTCGTTGAATGCGGACTCATCTTCTCGAGCTGATTGAGATGTTATAAAATCGAGAATCCGGTCGAGCTTCTCATTATGCTCATTGAACTCATAAGTTCGCTCGACTGTGTAAGGATCCCAGCACTGCTCGGAAGAGTACGGAGATGACTGGTAGTAACACCCGATGTGATAGCTCGGCTCGTGACCCCAAGACTGGGTGTGAAGTAAGGGGAACACACGGGTGAAATTCATCATACCTGCACACCAAAACAGAACAACCACACGTAGCCACGAAGAGGAAAGAAAAAGAAGACAAAAACAAACAAGACAAAAAGAAAAACAAAGATGCACAAAAGAAAGAACAAAAAACTCTAAAAATACAAAAATAAAGAGAAACACAGAAAATAAAATCAACACTAAAACTAAATATCCTACTTGCCTTCCCCGGCAACGGTGCCAAATTTGTTGCAGCACAAATTATTATTTTTATCGAGTACGGGATTACTCCCGACCTCAGGTCGATCTCTCGAGGAAGGGGGTTCGGAATTTAACTTTGGTATCGATTACACAGAAAAAGCAAATAAATCCTACACACTCTAATCAGATAAGGGGATTGAATAATTACTAACTAAGAAATAATAAAAAGCAATAATCTACCTAAAAATGTGAACGGAACAAGGATGGAGAAGCTAGAAAATCAGAGATAATTAATTCAAGTTCTAGCAAAGCCGGACAATTAATTGCTCGGTTCGAGATTGACACTCTCGCTTAGACGTCTAGCGGTTCGCTCCCAATAACTCTTCGTAACAAGGGATTGAACATAGACGAACAAACTCGAGCATACAACATAGGCCAATTATCCCAGTCCCAATAACATTGACCTCAGAGGTTAGCATCGCACGAACAAACCTTC